CTTTTAACATTGGTGTTTATGGGAGTGTTGTGGTTTACAATGGCTTCGGCTGCCGAATCGGAAACATTTGGATTTTGCTTTTCATTTCTTCAAGCTGCAAGCAAATGCGATGCATGGCAACTAGAAAGGCGAAATCTATAGCATGACCTGGTATATGAGTAATAGGGAATAACATGAGTTTTTATGTTGATCTTTTGAGTTATATGTCTTGTTTTGGTTACCCTGTGTTATTTGTACGCCCTTGTATGTGACATTTCGAGGTGTGTATCCGTAGTGCAAGATAATTAGAGACTTGCTGTTCAGATTTGAAGCAGTTCAATCTGTTGTGAGCGAAAGAGTATACTATCTGGAGATCCTCGATTGTTCGTGGTTTGAGTAAGTAGAATATGGAGTGTAAATCACGCCAGTGTATTCTGCACACCCATCTTTTTACCTGCGGGTGCTCGATCAGAATCTCTTTCTTTTTGCAGTTCATTGTAGTTAGAACAGACAGCATGTCGAACTCTTTCCAGTGTATGGGTAATTTAATACACTTCCAAGGTATGACATATGTCGTTCGTGTGGAGACCAAGTCTTTTATATATCTGTATGCTATGCATCAAGTCGCGACGGTCGGTGCTCAGGACAAGGGCATACCAATATAATTCTTTTCTTCGCCTCGTCTAAGGCTACAGCTTTCCCTAACAATCGTGTGTGTTTAGCTTGGGTGGCTTTTGAGGCGGGAATTTGTATGCTGCTTGATAGTCAGGTCAATTGAACTCGTACTCTGTAGTGTTCGAAGCATAGCTCACGCTGGGATCCTCTTCATCGATTTGAGAGCAACATCATGCAGACCTGGTTTCGAAACGATTCAGCCAAAGCAGTACCATTACTTGATGATGAAATACACTGTAGCAATTGGGAATTGAGTTACTTCAGCCATAAGTTTGAGAAGACAATAGCGAAACCCGTTGTCGTGATTCTATTGCCGAGGTATTCATCATCAACATGACGGGGGAGGTTGCAGCCAAATCTTTATAATCGGGAGAATTGACAAATAAATACTATATGCTGACTGGCCGCGACTATGATCATTAATCTTAAAGCCGGGCTGTTTGCAGCTGTTACGGCGTGTTGGCTCAGAGCTGGTCAAGACCGATCAGTAATCACACATATCGACCGGGGGAGTCGCATAAATCTCCCAGCGGACGCTATTCCGCCATTTCAAATGCATATTATGAGAGGAAAACACCGTCGGGGTTTTGGACGGTAGATAAAGTACAGCATTGGATTGGGAATTGAGAATCGGCTGTCTGGTTATACGAATTGGTTTCATTATGGCGACTATCAAAGAGACTGGTGATGCGCCTGTGGATTCACTTGGTGACTCTGTAACGGAGAACGACCTGGAGGTTGCGAGACCGAGGGAGCAGCAGGAAAAAGATGATCTGGACTGGGATGATAGCCCTCATAACCCATTCAACTGGCCAGCTTGGAAGAAAGCATTGCAAGTCGTGATGCTCTCTTCATCAGCCCTACTGGCGTGAGTAAACTCGAACTCCCCTTTAGAATCACCACTCTAACAACTTAGCTCCATCGGAACATCAATAATGAGTCCAGCCCGCAGCGAGCTCATGCACGAATTCAACGTCAGCAGCACCGTCGCCCTCCTCCCTTTGACGATGTACGTCCTCGCCCTGGGCTTCGGCCCCGTCATCGGCGGTCCCTTGTCAGAAACCATCGGGCGCTACGCCATCTACACTGCGAGCGTTCCCCTGGGCGCACTCTTCACCATAGGCGCGGGCTTTGTGCATAACATCGGAGCGTTGTGCTTTCTTCGTTTCATGGCGGGATTGTGTTGGGGCCCTGTTCTTGCTGTTGCGCCGGGGACTCTGTCTGAGACGTTCAAGCCCAAGTCAAGAGGGCCTGTTTCGGCGGTGTTTATCCTGATGCCGTTCTTGGGACCCGGGCTAGGGTGAGTATCCATTTTAACAAACTCTAGGAGCGTGACTGACGTTTTAGGCCCGTTATAGGAGCTTTTGTGGTCAATCGCAAAGGATGGCGCTGGACGCAGTGGACGCTCATCTTCTTCTCGATCCTGGCCATGATTATGGCGGCATTCGCTCATGAGACGTTTCATCCGGCTATAAAGCGAAGACTGGCCAAGAAGAAAGGTCTGAAGATCGATGCGCCGCCGCCGATGGCTGCGCGGCTCAAGATGTTTGCTCTCGTGGCTGTTGTGCGGCCTGTTCGAATGCTTCTCTTCGAGCCCATCACCGGATTCATCTGCTTATACGTGGCAGCCGAATTCGGAACTCTGTTCAGTTTCTTTGCCGCCGTTCCGTACACCTTTGGGAGGGTATACCGATTCTCTTTGGAAGAGTCAGGCCTGGTGTTCCTATCCATCGTCATCGGATGTCTCCTCGGCCTCGTCACCGTCATGCTCTGCGACATCTTCCTCTACCGAAAACAAGCAGCGAAATATCCACCCCACCAGATCCCGCCCGAGCATCGTCTGTATCCTTCCATGATTGGCAGCATAGGACTGCCCATCGGTCTGTTCTGGTTTGCCTGGACTGCAAGACCGGGAGTTTCATGGGCGAGTCCCGCAGCGGCGATGATTGTCTTTGCGTGGGGGAACATGTGTGTTTTTGTGAGCACAATGCAGTATATCACGGATACGTACCATGGTAGTGTCGTTGCGAGCGCTGCTAGTGCGAATAGTCTTGCGCGATATGGCTTTGCTGGTGTGTTTCCGTTGTTCACTATTCAGAGTAAGTTTGTTCATTACTTTATCCTCACTGGGACAAATGCTAATAGGGTGATTCAAGTGTACGAGAAACTGGGCATCGATTGGGCTAGTAGTCTACTTGGGTTCATCGCGCTGGTGTTGTTGCCAGTTCCGTGGGTGTTGTTCAAATACGGTCCAGTGATCAGAGCGAAGAGTTCTTATGAGACGGTGCAGTTTAATTGAAGTAAATAGAATATGCTGCATAGGTACTTTTTAACATGCCAAAGAGCCCGATTTGAAAAAGGCTAGTTCTCAGGAAGCGTGATCAACTTGTAGTCCTTGTCCAGGTAATACCACAGATCGTACTTCGCCGGTCTCTCAGCAGCTGGAAGAACATTCGCCTTAGCAGGAAGGCCAAACTTCTTGGTAGCATCCTTGCTCTTGATGTAGCTCTTGTACTTCTTGGTGCTGGTCTGGTTGTAGTTGATCTCATTGGAATCAACCTTTCCACGCACAAGGTCTTCCCAGTAGCCGTGACTGCTCTTGATGGTCTTGGCCATAAACTTGGCGTTCTGGTATTCTCCGCCGACAATCTCAAGAACGTCGTCACCTCGAGCGACTTTGTAGTACTGGAGGCGTTAGAAAGGCATGGGTGGTGGCAGAGGACTTACTGTAAACCAGTTGTAGTATGTTTGAGCGAGACCCGGGCGGTACTTTTCGAGATCCTCGACGGCTGGAGATGTTAGGTTGGGTGGTGAGATTGGGTGTAAGACTTACAATCGACAAGATCGGCAAGGGGATCCTTGGTATCAATGGCGATGACCTTCCAATCAGTCTCGCCGCCCTTAATGAGTCAGTAAGTATTTGAGTCGTTTTGGCTGGGCTGTACTCACATCGTTGAGGGCAAGTCCTCCTAGAACCTTGACAGACTTGATCTGACCAACGTGTGATGGGCTGTATAAACGTTAGATTTGGTCACATTATGCATGCCAATTTACTCACGCTTCAGTGATGTCGAAGAGGTCAATTGGGTCATTGTCACCGGGAAACCCAGTGAACTCGTGGTCAAAGTTGGGGCTCTCCCAAGTCTGAGGGATGGATCCGTAGTGGAACGGGTACGACTTGTGCGGCCAAACACTCTCGACAAAACGAGGCTTTTTCTTCTTGTCATCGTGGAAGATAGGGTCTGTAATTTGTTGTTAGCAATAGAGAGTGACGTGAGAGTGAGGTCTTACTGAGAGGTTCGTCGCGACGAGTCTCGATCTTGCCATCGGTCCATCGAGGGATCTCAACAACATAGCTCACGATGCGGTTGTTACCCTTTTCAGGGTACAGCGGAATATCGTGCCAGAAGGAAATAGGTTGACCATCCTTCTCTAGCCACACGCGCCAATCCTGAGGATGTTAGTAAGATATCCTCCTTGGGTGTAGCAAACAACTGACAAGGGTGTTGCGAGCGCCAACTTCTCGCAGAGTAAGAGAATCATAGTCAAAAGACTTAGCCCGCGGCGCGAGCGAAGAACCTAGAACAAGAGCAGGCAACAGCACCAGCTGAACAAGTGAAGACGTAGCAACCATTGCGGGAGAGGAGATCAGAGAGCGAGAACAGCTGATGAGAGGTAAAGATATAAAGTTACATTGGCGTTCGGGGTGTCTTTTAAGCTTAAGTTTGAATCAACAAATCGCCAAGACCGTACATCACTCGCGTGAGGTTCATCTCATCCCATCCCGCGGCTTCGGTGACGGAAATGGAGATCCTAATCGGTGCCCAGAGAGGCGGATCGTTACCCCGGCCGATTTGTTTGGTTTGGTAGACCCAACGGCGATGCGCAGGCGCTGCACGTGCATGATGAGTGTATATCTTTGGGGGATGCACGTGGGATATGGCGATGATAAAAAGTCGATTTTGGGTGAAGGTTTCGAGCGCTAATGCAGGGCGACTTTATCTCGAGGCCAATGAACCTTTGTTAACTCAATTCGCAATTAAACTACGAACAGAATTGCCTCCTTGTGTTTGTGATTGAGCATCTTCACATGCACCAGGATAGTCTAAGCGGGCATGATATTATTCCCGGGCGGGGTGGCCAAAACTCCACACCCAATACCACCAACTCAATGAGTGGAAAGCCGGCAACACTCCCCGTAACGAGTGGCAGAGCATTCCAATTGAAGACATCTAGCAGCATTTATCTCTATACATTTTGCAGGGTGTTAGATAAAAACAAAAGCAGTGGTGTGAGAAGAAACACACCCAAGATATCACCAATCCCACCAAAACATCAAAAATGAGCGACAACGGCAGGATTCGAACCTGCGCTCCCGAAGGAACTTGCTTTCGTCGATTCGAGGCAAGCACGTTAACCACTCCGTCACGTTGCCATATCGCTGGAGATGACGATGCTATTATACCCTATGCATGTAACACAAGCATCACGCACAGCTTCGACTGAGATGGCCTACGTCAAACAGTGCTGCTGGAATTGAGGTGGCCGCCTTTATTTCCCAAGGAAACCCTCACTAGGCCTCATGATAAACTGCTCAATCACAGTTTCACAACCTGTCTGTTGAATGCTGCCAGATTTAAATGACACATCTGATGCGAGACCATACCAACAACGCGATCTGGAACCAGGAGCTTCCATAGCACTCACTCATAAGTTTCAATGTTGATCAGGACCAAGGAAGCCTTTCCTCCCTGGACTTATTCAAATATTACATGAATGAATTGACGTGTTAATGATACGTGGGATCTGGCCAATATGCTTGTGACGCCTTGAAATGGAGGCCTATCTTGGCATAAAACGTTGGTATGTGCCTCGTCGAATACGACTGAGGGTTGCTAAAAGCTTTGTGCATAGAATAGTCAGTAGCCTAGCTAAGATCGCCGAATGTGTTCATGTCTAAGAAAGGATCCGATCTTGAACATGTCCATCGAACATGATCCTGAACATGGTCATGACAAAAGGAAGTACGAGCTACCATCATCATCTAGTATCCCAAACGGTCACGATTTTAACGTTGACTACTATTTCAACACACATATGCAGCAGGCTGAGAAGTGAGTACACTATTGAGCCACCTACCCTCAGTATATATCTGACTCAACTCGGCAATGGGACCTGGGGGGATGTCAAAGCGGCCAGAGACGCCATCAAAGACGAAAAGATCCTCGGCGAACTGCGTGGACCGCACAATCAAGTGATTGCGCTTGCTCCAGGAACCTCACCTTCACCCTAGTTATCGAACCGGAATAGAGAAACTCAAATAAGCTTCGAGTATATAAAAGGAGACAATAGTGAAGAAGTGGCAGTAGTATTAGCTACGGTAGTAGTGATCTGGCCGAGTTCCATTTCCTCCATATCATCTGCCAGTCTTTTCTCGATGTCCTTGTTCTTCTTTGGCAATGCTAGTAGATTCCTTCTGAAATGAGGAAGAAGAGAAAACATAGAGCAATGAGATCGTCCTCATGGAAGGTAGGGCCGCCTTCGCTAGTCTCAACCTCATCCTGGCCCTCGTCATCGTCACTCTCCTTGCCCTACAATAGTTAGCATCAGCGTCGCCATGTATACGAGGGTTTGTAATTACCTGAGTCTTAATCCTAGTGTACAGGGCGCTACGGGCCCATTGTTGGGTTGCCGTCAGGGCCCTTCCCACAGAAGTGTCGTGACGGAGCTTGACAACTTTGTGGAGGAACTGCCAGCAAATTGAGTCCCACATGAGCTCCTCGAACTCATCGATTTTACATTTTTCGATTTTCACGAGGATCTTGATCGTGGGCTTCTGTGCGATCAAAAGCGAGAGGTCGTTGACGGTAAGGGGATCCATTTTTACCAACGATCTTCTGAATGTGGTGAAGTGAAGTGATTGAAGGACGAGAGTAATAGGGGATAGGTAGTGAGAGATGATACCAGAGTGAGAGATGTATTTGGAATGATGAAGAAATATGGCAACGTTGGGTTGAGTTGGGGAGGTATCGAAGAGTGTGGTGAAGATGAAGGAAGAAAACAATGGGGCCGAGAAAGAGGATGAGGGGATTATGTAGCGCCAGTTCGAGTGGTAACGATGTGAATGTTCAGCATGAGTGGCAGTTCTTAGCAGAGAAACAGTGTTCACGGCTGTCCGCCAGCTGTCCCCCAGTCTTCATCACTCCATGGCTATGGCCCAGGGCAGAGGCAGGGGCGAGCAAGATATACGACGCAAGTTCTACACTTAAGCTATTGTTTATCTTTGGTCTTTGTGAGTCTCCTTCTGTTTGTAATTCTGTGGAAACCTCTGTGGCAGCTGGATATCTTTTTCTTTATTGTACAAAAGTGCTACCGCACTTGCCTCCATGCAATCAACCCTCTCGAGTATTCGTTGTTGGAGACTTAGCTGGATGCTAGGAGAATCGGAGTGCTCATAGAAAGCCCCTTATGTATTGTCAAAATATTGTGTCATACAATTTGCTATCCTGACGTGTCTTCTTCCACCAAACCTAAAGTCTCCCACTGCATAGGCTCAGGGGTAGTCTTCTCCAAAAGCACTCGCGGTCGAGAATCCTTATGTTGTCGCAGGTAAGCTTCCTGGCGTGCCCTCCTGATGGATTGCATTGTGTTCGATTGTATATTAGTTCTATCCATTATAGCGCTCGAATTCCCGGTGGAATGTGTCTTGTTTCTCTTGGCTTCCCGTGTACTCCTTGGTAGGGAGGTTCCAAGATTTAGACCAGACGGTATCCATGGACTATCGATTCAATAAACATCGAAGACACCCCAAAGAAGAGGAATACCATGATGAATACGACGAGGTAAAAGAAGGAAAAGAAACCGACGAGGAAGACGAGGAAGAAGAATGTAAGCAGGGCAAGGGATGCCAGCCAGTTTTCAGCTTCAGGGTGTCGCATTTTATCGATGTGAATGGCAAGAATGTCAATTTCCTCTTGATCAGATTGAGTATTTCGATAGCCCTTGTGATCTTCATAGGATAGACTTTTGTGAAGTAAGGGGCTCTGAGGAGTAATAATTAATATGTTAAAGATGGAAAGGAAAGCCAAGAATGCCGAGATTTCATGTAGTATCCGAATAGGTCTCGACAGCAGCAAATTTGTTTGCATTTTCGCATAAATTGGTTGCACAAAAATAAAATAAATACAGTTGAGTTTATAAAAATCGAACAATACTGCCGTCTTTAAACTCAAATGGTGATAGGCATTGACCCCTGAGCCACAATTGCGCATATTAACTCTAATGCCTACATTGAGGATTGTCTTACTGCCGACTGCTATTCGAAAGCCTTCAAGAGAATGGTAGATTAAGAATATGTATTGTCTGTTGTTCAAGTCAGTGTACTTCTGTAGCGATCAAGTCATCGAAGAGTTGTTACGGGGGGCTCACGATCGTGAGTTCAGGGGCAGTTGCGATAATCATCATGCGAGAGTCTCCCTGAACTCTACTCGTGATGAGGGTTAAAGAAAGCTTTCGTGAAGGGATTTGAGGTATTTTTTGAAGTCTAAGTTGGCAATATTATGTCCTCCAGTTGGGTTCCTGATAGAACTCTCATCGTGTTCGTCTGAGCTTCGAACACGCACGAAGAACATAGATCGATGAATGCAACTCAGTTACAAGGTTGTTACGCCATCAATTAACTTAAGAATTCTTACCAAGCCTTTCCCCCCACTTGTTCTACTGCTGTATGGGTTTGAATTTGTCAAGTTCCTGCCGGACGGTGCTGATACGTGGAGTGTAGGTCGAAGGTTTGCACTCACACGTGGGCACTGCCACGTATAGCATCTTCTGCAAAACTCTGATACTTCTCGCACAGAATGCAATGCCCAAGCCTTTAAACTTTTTAATTCACTCATCTGCCACCTCTTGTCTAGTGCTATAAATACCCCCCCGATCACCTTTGGGAGTCTCATATTTCTTTCCCTCCATAATCACACATCCCTTCCCCAATCAAACCCCAATCAACGACAAATCAATCTTGCAGCTTAGCACTCAAGAAAGTCTCTTCATACATTCATCTATCTTGAAACACAACTACCGAAACACACCATGCCTAACCTCTCAAGGCAAGACATGCGGCATCTGGGTCGTTGTGACCCCACCGTCGACATCCTAGTAAAGCTTTATCAAATCGAAATTGGGTTCTTTGAATCTGCCAAGCGAGACCCAGACTTCAGGATGTTCCTAAAACGTGTGGTGGGGATCAAAGGCAATGTTCCAAGTTGTCTGGCCCTAAAGCGAACCCAAGATTGGGCGTGCGATGCGATGTACTACCTCAAGAAGGAAGAGGTAAGTAGATTCCGTCAATCAATGTATTCTATAGGTACTAACTATATACAGCGCAAGAATTCTGGAGAGGAAGAGGATGGCTCTGATGCCCCTCAAGGCGAGAAGGAAGCTGAGCCCAAGGTCGAGCCCAAGGCTCAAACCGGCCCCGTCTTCGAAGGCGACAACTTGATCGCCTTTTAAGGACGTTCCGTGGGTGACTCTGCCTACTTCCTTCTTTTACTTCAACCTTTCACCTTATTGAGCCCAAGCTTTCAACCTCTCCCAAGCTCAAAACTCAATATGATCAAGATGACAGAAGTCGCCCACGGCAACTAAACTTGACTCACACAGCCATACGTATCAAAGCTGGCTTTTCCTCCCCCATCCCTCAACCTGTTCCACACCACAAGCACACTAGTCAATCGACCCTTGCAGCTCCCCGTCGTTAGTCAACCCATCAAGAAGCCAAGACTAGTCAGTCAATCAACCCCCTCGCAGCTACCACCCAACACGATGAGTCACGAAAGAATAGGTATCTGCCGCGACACAAGTCTCAGCCTAACCTACGAGAAGATCAACGAGACAATCAAAAACTGCCATGAGCAGAAACGCGAGCGACTTAAGCACAAGGCTAGAGACCTTAAGATCAATCCGGAGTGGCTTTCGATAGCCGCCTTCTACCACCTCCCAATAGCAAACAGGATGATCATAGCTTGGTCAAATTGATTGCCTTTAGCTATGAACGTTTGGCACTCTTACTGGTTGCCTTTGGCTATGAGCTCTTAATGCTTTAAGGTATAAGTCTCAGCAAGGAAAACGCCGACCTCAATCACAGTCAAGATGCCGATCGCAACCGACAACCCTGCCCGCCGAAGCCTACTCACGAGGCTACGAGGCTATGAGAGTCTGATGCAGCCCAGCAACGAAGATATCATGACCGTATTGCACGAGAACACTGTCTCCGAGGATCGCAAGGAGCTACGGAGAGAGGCCAGCAAGCTATCGGCAATCACCATTACAACTACAGTCAGTCGATCAAACCCTAGTCCACCTTCGGTCCACGTCGCCAACCTCTTTCACAGCTACCACGATGAGTCTCGAAATAACAAGCGTCTGCCGCGAAGTAAG